TTAACACTCTCCAGTTTTAGTAAATCAACCACAATGTTTTTCATTGTCTTGTTGCAGTATTGAAGATTTGAAACTACTAAGGGCCGCTGGCCACGAAAGAAAACATATGCATAAGGGATAAATGCTATGGATGCCATAGATAAATATATATACAAACTACTTGCCTCTGGAAGATTTACCCCATTTCCTGACCAGGCAATTTTTTGCTATACTTTAACTGACAATTGCGCGGTCATGCAATGCTGTACATAAATTAAATTAAATAAACAAATAGAGCTTTCTTATGGTTTTTTTACGCTATCAACAATAAAAGGCCCTACCCTTCTCTATCCCACTCCACATGAATACATTTTCCCAATAAAACACTGCTACTGCCTTGGCTACCAAGAGACTATCCAATACTGTGTGTCTTGGGAAATGTAGTTCAGGTGGTGAGCGTACCTTAGTAGGCACGGAGCTCACAGCAGCTGCCCCTGCAAGGCAGTTACAACCTTGGTGATGTCACAAGTCATAATTAAAACTTGTTTCTTCCACAAGGAGTAAATAAATAATACTTGGGCATGCTCAAGAGGGGAGAAGGATGTTTGGGGGTAAATTTGGGTACACCTAGACATACACTTACAGTATTTAGATTATATGGAGTTATTATTTGGATCTAGGGTAGTCCATATAAGAGAATCTCCCATGGTGAATATAAAAAGAAGACTATTTCTCTGGGACAAGAGTTAGAAGTGAACTAATAAGGGTCCACCAGACTTCTTTCAATAGTTTACTTCAAAGCCTGCAATCTGTGACATCAAATCCACCATTCGAAACAGATAAGGACAATAACTAAGAGGGTCTCTTAAAAAACAAACAAAAAAAAAACAAAGCTTGAACACCAAAGTGCTACTTAATGGGATATTGGTGTGATGGCCTTTATTTTATTCTCAAGCATACTAACATTGTGTATGTGGAATGGCTTTCAATATATATATATATACTGTATCTCCTCCGTGGGAATAACAAAGAAAACCAGACGGAGGGCTATGGAAACAAGGCTGTTTTACGTGACTCATTGAAAATATGTCCCATCACTTTATGTCTACTGGCCAGGCCTTCACGTGTAAATAAGGATAAGTGAATCTGGGAGTAGATCAGCCATTTACCAATACAACTATTAATATGAACTTGTTGTCCAACATGAACAGTGCAGAAAGCCCTCTGATCTTATCTCTATAAAGTCACAGTGATAACAGAAGATGGAAGCTGATGGCATGTTTCAAGTTGTATTATTACCATTACATCCCATTGGGCTAGGAAAACTTGTTCAGGTGTATGTGTGAATAGGGAGTTGGTTCTTGGAGATTGGCTAATTCATATCTAGTATCAGTAAGAGCCATGTAATGCTAGTGATCCTGTCACTGATGGCAATTCACCAGCAACAAGATCACTAAGTAGGATACTCATCTGCTGCTGTGGTGTTGCACTTTCATTAGCACTAGCCCCTTAGGAGTAACAATAGTTTTGTGTTCCCCTGCACAGCCAGGCAACACGCATTTTCACATCCACTTGCATTCAGGAGTCAGTAATTTACTTGAGCTTGTTTTGAAGTTTTATTAGGGAATGCAGAATTTGCATGGAGTAAGGGGTGTACGGGATGCCCAATGGAACTGAGAAACTGAGACAACTTCCTGAACTTTGTACAAGTGGTCACAGCAAACAGTCTTTTTTGGAAAATTAGCCAGTGCCTCCTATAGTACCATCCCAGACCCCAGATACTTCTCTGTCTGGCCACCTGGAGGAATCCCTGGACAGGGGATCCAGTCTGCCACTTAGAATGGTGAAACAGTCCTGGGTGGCAGGCTAAACCAGTTTCCCACTAGAGTGCCCTTATCTGGCCCAGGGGGTGCAGGTCTACTCACTTAGTCCTTTTGTGTTGCTGGTGGGTCAGTGGCTGTACTAGGCCTTCTAGCTGGGCTGGCCTCTCCCAGGGGGCTGGTGAATTTCCAAGCTTTCAGCCTCCCCAGATCCTTTTGCCTGTAGGTGATCTCCTATCAATCTGGGCTCCCTCCCAGTCTCCTGCCCTTCATCCTCATATCCTCCTCTTCCATTCAAACTCTCCTCCACCTCTCCTGCTGCTGAGTAGGCTCAGTTACTCTTAAATTCTGTCCTGGCCCATGCCAAGCCTCCTGTTGGGGATTGACCATGAGTACAGACTAGCCGCTCCTCAGATCTGCCCACAGCTTCTAGATCTTTCTTCAAAGTTCTAGTGCAGTGGGAAATTCCTGCTAGCTATTACACCCAGGCTGCTACTTAGCCCTAACTAACAATTGGAGTCTAGCCCCCCCCCCCCCCCCAGCTGACTAGGAGGGAACTACAATAGCTACCATGCTGGATAATCTCCCTGGTCAGTGAGAAAGCAGGGGTAGAGCAATGTCTTTCTGGTTTGAGCAACAAAGAGAAAATGCCAGAGATGCAGGTGCTCCTACCAATCCTCTCGCTGGCAAGTTGCCACCACCACTAAAACTATTGTTAGCTTGGCATGGGTCTAACATTGGGCATTTTATTTTTCAGTGTTTGTTTGAATTTATAGTAAATTGCTGTGTCCAATTTTTGTACCCACCAACTATTTCCCTGGGGTTTTTATGGGGATGTAATAATAGGGGGAAACTTTCAAAATTGGTATATAAGACATTGATGTACCGATCATTAGCATATTAACAGCAATGATGGGTTTTTTTTTGTAAATCTAGGTTGAAATGTTGGAGTTTCCTATTAAACTATGTGGGGTTTCAGCAGAAGGGATCTCATAAATTTAAGACACATAAAAATGTATAGGCATTTTACAGCTCTCAAACTGTCAACCCTATTGATTATTTTCTATAAAGACTCTAAGTGACAGCTGTGACACCGTATGTACTTCATAGCTATAAACCTTATGACATACATCTCTGCCTGCATCACAAAATGCCTACTTATTTATTTTTTTATCTCATTGTCCTTGATTTTATTGCTCTTGACAGTATTCTTCTGTCATTCCCAGAGTAAATTTGTGTAAAACAGATATAACTCTTTTTGGTAAAACTTTAATCCGTTACTATGTAAGGACTGTGTCTTCTAAAAGGAGATCTCGTAAGAATAAAAATTGGCAGTCATGCAGTTATGTGTAGATTTTGTTCAGGCGTTCTCTAGAATATTTTTTCAGCAAATGTAAAAAAATTTCAGTTAGGCTTGTACTGTATAGGTACTGAATTCACCGAGACTTTATTTGTTTTACTATAAAAGTTTTTCTAAACCCAAGAACAGCAATTTATTAGTATACAGCTTGCTAGTCCTTAGTTGTAGTGGCTATATTACCGTAGTTTTCTTTTTTTCCCATTATACCTTCATTTGGTGATCCTGCCAGTAACACTTCTTGTCTTAGGGTGAACGCAATCACTCAGTGTCACTCTAGGGCAGGAATTGTGTAAGGACTATAGAACATCCCCCTCCTTATCGTCATAACTGTAATAAAGAGGTAAACATTATTACTTCCAGGTTCCTATTTTTAACCTTTCAGATATGTGGATGTGTTGCAATAATTCAAACAACATAAAAGTATTATAATAATAAAAAAAAGATTACTTAGCTGGGCTAAAAGATGTTTTACAAATTATGCGATAGTAGTTCAGGTCCATGGGGAAATTAATTCAGTTTTCAGATTTGTTTAATATTTTGGATTTGAATAACAAATGGATCTAAATTTTATTCCATTTGTTAATTCGGTTGCACATGACGCCAGTAGATATTATCCAATCAGCTCATGCCATTTCTCTTGGTGGACTGAGCTAATGTCTGAAAATATTGAATCCTTCTGGATTGAATACATCCAGGGGCGGACTGACCATTTGGAAACTCGGGCACTGCCCGAGGGCCCGGGGTCAGTAGGGGGCCCCATGAGATGCCCCGGGTACCTTTTTCATAGGCTTTTTTGAGTTTGGACAAGGACACAGGGGCCCCATGATCCCCTATTACCAGGGGGCCCCATGAGTTATCAGTCCGCCCCTGAATACATACGATTCGATCATATAGAACATATAGCAATCTTCCTAGAAAAACTGCAACATTTTTTTAATCCACCCGGACCAGCGAATATATGGAATGAATGTTGAATTCCGAAAATGAATCATGTCAACATGAGGAATATGACAAAACACAATTCTTCAATGAATAAATACATTTGAGACTAAATGAACATTTTCGGTGTGTACATGTCTATTCGTTTTCTTTAATGTGTTCAGTTATATTTTGCACTTAGAAGAGGACTTCCTTAACATACTCTTAAATGTCACTATATTGCCAAAAGTATTGGGCCGCCCCGCCTTTACACGCAGATGAACTTTAATGACATCCCTGTCTTAGTCAGTAGGATTCAGTATTGAGTTGACCCCGCCCTTTGCAGCTATAACAGCTTCAACTCTTCTGGGAAGGCTGTCCACAAGGTTTAGAAGGGTGTCTATGGGAATGTTTGACCATTCTTCCAGAAGCACATTTGTGAGGTCAGGCACTGATGTCGGATGAGGAGGCCTAGCTCACAGTCTCCGCTCTAATTCATCCCAAAGGTGTTTTATCAGGTTGAAGTCAGGACTCTGTGCAGGCCAGTCAAGTTCCTCCACCTCAAACTCGCTCATCCATGTGTTTATGGACCTTGCTTTGTGCACTAGTGTGCAGTCATGTTGGAACAGGAAGGGGCCATCCCCAAACTGCTCCCACAAAGTTGGGAGCATGAAATTGCCCAAAATGTCTTGATATGCTGACTCCTTAAGAGTTCCCTTCACTGAAACTAAGGGGCCAAGCCCAACCCCTAAAAAACAACACCACACCATAATCCCCCATCCACCAAACATTACAATTGGCATAATGTATTTAGGCAAGTACTGTTCTGATGGCAACTGCCAAATCCAGACACGCCCATCAAATTGCAAGAAAGATAAATGTGATTTGCTACTCGAGAAAACACGTCTCCATTGCTCTAGAGTCCAGTGGCGGAGTGCTTTACACCACTGCATCCGATACTTTGCATTGCACTTGGTGATGTAAGACTTGGATGCAGCAGCTCGACCATGGAAACCCATTCCATGAATCTCTCTACTGTTGTGTGCTAATATGAAGACCACACAAAGGTTGGAGGTCTTTAGCTATTGACTCTGCAGACAGTTGGCAACTTCTGCACACTGTGCACTTCAGCAGGCGCTGACCCCGCTCTGTCATTTTACGTGGCCTACCACTTGGTGGCTGAGTTGCTGTTGTTCCCAGTTGCTTCCACTTTGTTATAAAACCACTAACAGTTGACTGTGGAATATTTAGTAGCCAGGAAATGTCACAGATGGACTTATTGCACAGGTGACAACCTATCACGGTACCATTCTTGAATTCACTGAACTCCTGAGAGCGACCAATTCTTTCAAAAATGTTTGTAGAAGAAGTCTGCATGCCTAGGTGCTTTATTTTATACACCTGTGACCATGAAGGTGATTGGAACACTGAATCCAATGATTTGGAGGGTGTCCTAATACTTTTGGCAATATAGTGTATCTCAAACAGCTTCTTAACTATGACAGATTAGCTGTTTATCAATATAGTACTTTTTTTCTTTTTATACTTTTTTACATTTTTGTTTATTGACTTTTTTTTTATCAATCCTTCATCTTACAGGCTTTATAAAATATTTAAGGAAAGTAATTTCGATTTTGACATCACATCTGAATGATCAGATCAAGACCTGAATTTGGCCTTGTGAAAATCAGCTCCTTCCCTGGGGGACTGTGAGTAATTTACTGGGCAAATAACAAGTTCAAAGTTCAGGAAAGCAATAAATGAATACATTAAAAAGATAAATAAATCAACTGTGAAATTGTATCTTTTTTTTCAGCACATTTCATGCAGGATGTTAAATAAAAGAATAGGATATAGTGTGAGTGTATTGTATATTACAATATTTTCATATAAAATGTAATAATTCATTTTCATATTTACTGAGTTTTGCTAATTAAAACTCATAAATAGCAAACTTCTAAAAGAGCAATTTGGGACAACTTAAGATTACAAGCAGTATATATCAGGGTAAAACATATATATTACATCTCTGTAATTAATGCACATTTTTTATTTTTAAAAAACACTGCAAAAAACACTGCAAGTACAGAAAAATATCTGTTCTTCTGCTGGAAATCCATTCAGTTCATACGTTCCTATTGAGGACCTACAATGCTGACTCTGCTGTACTGATCTCCCCAACTATGTTCTCGGGCCGGATTTCTCCCTTGCTGGACTATATAAACCTAACATAAAAAAATATATCTGATCATAAGGGCTCGTTCACACTTGACTGTTTTACCAACGCTTGCCAAACGCCCCTATAGCGTTTGGCAAGCGTTGGTCCGGCATTTGCGGATAGTTTTTTTAATGCTCCGTAAACGCTGCACGCGCAGTTTAGCGGCGGTTGCTAGACGTTTGCGGAGCGTTAAAAACGCTCCACAAATGCCTATAATGAAGTTTAAATGGTGTTACCGCTCCGCAAACGCCCCGCAACCACGCCGCAAACGCCGGCCGGGCGTTTGCAGAGTGGCACCATAGGCTAGAATAGGAGGCTTCAACGCCTCCTGACTCGACCAGAGGCGTCTGTTTTGCCGCACCGTGACGCTACGCTCCTGTTAGAACAGCACCATGTGCTGCAATGTGCAGAATTGTCAGAGGCGTTTGGGAAGCGGTAAAAACGCTTCCCAAATGCCTCTCTGCCGCCTGCACACAACGCTAGTGTGAACGTAGCCTAAGTCTACTTTAAGCTCTGTAATACATGGCTGCAATGGGTTTCAGAGAACTTAGACAAAGCTAAGCAGACTTTCTGACTTCAACATAGATACAGTTTATATAAAACAGCAATATCAGTTTAGCGGTTGATCTCAAATCTTGAATTGGATTTGCACTTAAAACAATGATATAACACCTACTCATTAAACTGCCAACTGTTTATTTAAAGCCTTAAATGATAACTCCACTTTTGTGAAAACATAGCAAATAAAAATCAATATAGGATATACGATTGTTACACAAGCCTTATTAGAATTTAATGCTATTAAAAATTACCTTTCCTTTTTGATCTGCAGACGCTGTAATTTTTAATAAAATTGAAAGCAATATGGAGGCGTTCTGTTCACTGTTGATGTACAGAACGCCTCCAGAAATGTAATTTCCTGCTTATGTGATTAGTCACTGATTTTCCCAGGAACCTGCACTAAGATACATGTAGAAGTTTAGTGTATTATATAATGTTTGTAGTTTTTTTGACATGTGGCGCCCTTCCATGTGCTCCTTGCTGCAAAGGCCAGTTATAGGTTGGGGTGGTTGACATTTGTTTGTATAGTTGGAGAATTGGTGAGGGGGCACACTGTATACCTTCCCTGCCATTGTGCTATTGCTGGGCGTTCAGTGCATTTCTATACCTTTAACCCCTTCACACCGGTACCTTCCGGCCCTTTAGGGGTTTCTGATACCGGGAGGTGGGGAAGGGTTTAGGGTCATGTGACCTCCATGATTGGCTGTCACGGTAGTCACATGATCGGAAAGGTCCTGATCGCAAGGGGAGATCGGGTCTGTATTGCGTTTTACAGTGTACAATTTGCATTCCTCAAGACAGTGAGGTATTTTTGACTGGATATGGTGATGTATGGGGCTTGTCCATGAGAAGCTGACATTTAGGCCCATGGATGAGTGTACCTGTATTACATATCTGAAGCAAGACAGATTATACTATCTAATTAGTTTTGTCCATGGGGAAACTCCATTTCCTTAATAGAGATTATATATTTAAGCTGATAGGCTTAAATCTTTATATCTTTTTTATGCCATCACTTTATCTAAAATGGTATGGTATTTGATTTGGTCTGGTGTTATTAACCATTTGGATGTAAGGTAAATAATTGCAATGGTATCCAGTCATATTGTTGTGCGCAGTAAATTCCACTCCAATAGGCATTAATACAAAGCAGTGTGCTTACAGTGAAGCACATACACTGCCAACATAGTAAAACAGCACACAGTTAACCCTTTGATCACCCCAGATGTTAACCCCTTTCTGCCCAGTGTCATTAGTACAGTGTCAGTGCTTTTTATTAGCACTGATCACTGTATTAGTGTGTCACTGGGGTTGTCAGTGACAGTTTGTCGGTTTCCCCCCCCAGTGTCAGAATGTCTGCTGCAGTCCCACTATAAATCACTGATCGCCGCAATTATTAGTATAAAAAAAAAATTACAGTATATATACCGCCATTTGTAGACGCTATAACTTTCACGTAAACCAATTAATTTACACGTATTGGGATTTTATTTTAGCAAAGACATGCAGCAGAATACATTTTGGCCTAAATTTATGAGGAAGTTTGATTTTTAAAATTTTTTTACTGGACATGTTTATTAGCCAAAAGTCAAAAATATTGTTTGTTTTCTCAAAATTGACGATCTTTTTTTTGTATATAGCGAAAAAAATAAAAAAACACAGAGGCGATCAAATACCATCGAAACAAAGCTTCATTTGTGGGAAAAAGGGACATAAATTTTATTTGGGTGCAGCGTTGCATGACCGCGCAATTGTCAGTAAAAATAATGCAGCACTGTTTCAGGTCAGTTCAGGAAGGGGAGTAAATCCTCTGGAGAGCAAGTGGTTAAGGAACCACACCCTCCCATCCAGAATCAGTCTGCTTTCTCTTCAGAGCAACAATGTTTGTTAAAATCTTTGCATTGTACATTGATCACCCAGAGGCAGGGGCGGACTGACCGTTTGGAAACTTGGGCACTGCCCGTGGGCCTGGGGTCAGTAGGGGGCCCCATGAGATGCCGCTGGTACCTTTTTCTAGCCTTTTTTGAGTTTGGGCAAGGACACAGGGGCCCCATGATCCCCTATTGCCCGGGGGGCCCCATGAGTTGTCAATCCGCCCCTGCCCAGAGGGGATGATTTATTATCCACAAAAGTAGAGTTACACATTACCTAAATTAAAAAACCTTTATTACATAAAGAATGGGTCTGGATTTCTTCAGTGAATGTTGTTTTCAACCTCCAGTCATAGTTATTATTTTGATTTGGTGTTCTGATATTTAATGCTGGGTTCTTGAAATAATGAACAGTTCCGTTCTGTAGATGCTGATATAGCGTAGGCTTCATTAGCATTTTCTGCAGATGACTATTAAGAAATGGTGTGAGGCTATACTCATGTGATCGATTGAGTGTTGTAATAAGAAATCTGTATGCTTAGCAACCCTTGAGGTCTAGGCCTCCTTTACTGTGTCTCAGCGCATGCTTCAGAGATTTTATTTAATTTAAACTTCAGAATTCTGGAAAAAGCAGCACGCCAATCAGAAATAATAATTCTGGGATGTCTAAAATTTACAGAGTACACTTTCTACAATTAGAGGGAAGATAAATAAACACTTCTGGCTGCAGACTGAAATGAAAACATATTTTCTAATTTTCTAAAAAAAAATTTGACAAATTTGTGTTGACTGTTTAATGAAAGTAAAGTTTCCTATAAGTTTAATGTTACACAGTTACAAAATTAGTTAAGTTGACAAAAGACGAGTCCATTGAGTTCAACCAAAAATGTTGACTTTGAGAAAATATTGCCAAAAAAAAGGTTTTAAAAACACATCTAAAGCAGTTACAAATCACATTGATCCTGGCTGGAGTTTGGCTATTCTAAAACCTTTTGTCCCACTATGCTTTTTAGAGAAATGAAAAGAAACATATGTTTTTTTAATGATATTCTGGGTGCATACAATAAATATTTTTGCTTTCTGAACGTTAATTTATAGTGATTACATAGAAAAGAGCATTCTCAGACAGCTTGCATTTCAATAATTTCCTTCAGCTTAATTAATGAGAATGTCACAGCATATTTTGATCTGAAGATTTTGCTGAAATGATGGAGCCTGACAGAGATCAAGGTGCCCTTTTTCAGCATTTCCAGATGGATATTTTAACTCGTTTAAGGCTTGAGATGTGAAAGTAGCAGCAAGGTCCAAAATCAGCAAAATCACTTTTGCAATTCTGCTTGCTGGATGGAAAAAAAATAATACATCTTGTGGATGAAAATATCTATCTATCTATATTATACAGTAATTTTATTTGAAAATATTGGAAAAAAAGATATATTAAGCATTAGGTTAGTAAAAGCATAAAACAAAAATAAAAGTGGTATAATATGCAATCTTTGTCTGATTACATTAAATCACTTATTGAACTGGAATTACAAAGAAAGTAATGAATATAAAAGGTATATACTGCAAATATACTACTTCCTAGAAAGGAAAATATCAATCTGAGGGGGTAAAATGTAATGGTCAGGTGGCATTTTCTGACTATGGTCC